TTTGTAGCCCATAAGCACTTCTATGTTCCTTACCCACATCAAAGTGCTGCACCATAAGGGGCTTCACCTTGGTCACAGACTTGGTAAAAGCCTGGCAGTTCCAGGCCCATTCTGAACCATAGACACCTAGCTTCCCTTTCAATGTTTGTTTGCCAAAGTTGCCTTGTTCCTGGAATCGGTCTCTTTCTATATGCTCTTAATAGGCTTTGCCAGGATAATGATGACTTTTTAATTTAAAGATCAATAAGGCTCCCTGTGCAAGCTAGGAAATCCTTGACCTGGCTACCTTGACCTTACTGCTCAGCATTGCAGTTGTGCACAGATGAAATCTTTTGCTTCTGGCCTCATCCTAGTTTTGTTGATACTTGCTTTCCGCATGTCTTATAGAATTTCTTTAATGCATAATTGTGCTATATTGAGAGGAAAAAATAAAGAATCCTGATATTTCTTATGTAAAATCCTAAGATAGGTTGTATTATTCACAGTTCTCTACTCTTAAGGAAAAATTACATTTATGTGTTGCTGCTTCTGCAGAAAGAATTAACCAAAAGAACATGGCCATTGCTATTCTGCTGGAAATGCACAAAATCTACACACACCAAGGTTTAGAGGCCAATACACTGATTATGATTTCACTAAGACAGTCTGCTTCCTAGACTGGTTTTGTTATGCTAATCGCATTTTTTTTTTTTGCAATCATCTTTGCTTTGAACCATTTTCGTATGTCTCTGAAAGATGAGGCACTCTTTTATAATAAGTGTTTGAAGATAATACAACAAAGCAAAACAAAACAAAAAGAGCAACAGCTGTAAAGTTCAGAAGACATCCCCAGTGTCTTCGATTCATGGTAGAAACTCCACAATGCATGTACTCACCCTGGAAAGTGACCCAGACAGAGCGATAAAGAGCCCTGTCATTTAACACACTGGACACAGATGCATACCACCCTACTCCCACCCAGGAGCTTAGACCATTATTCCTCCTCTTTTGAGTGAGAAAAGACCACTTAGAGGAGCCATTTAAACACAGTTTGCCACTCCAATTGCCCCTTCTAGAGAAAACTGGAGGAAGAGGGGACCATACAGGCTCCTAAGAATCTTTCGCTTCCCCAACACAGAATTCAAAGGGATACTTATAAATTAGACAAAAGAAATGGTTTCCATGAAGGAAAGTAAATGTGGAAGGGGATTTGTGTATGAAGGTGGTATAACTTGCTGTTTGGTTCCTAGGCCATGGACACTTGCCTGTGTACAAAAAGCTTTGATGTCCCCTCAGCAACAATTGGGCAATTGAATAGCTAGACCATATGACAAATATATGCTCAAATGTTTAAGAAATTGTCAGTCTTCCAATGTGGTTTTACCACTTTTATTGTCATATCTGGAGTGCATAGATCAATTCAATTGTTCCAAACCTTCATTACTGGGCAATCTTTTGATTTCCACTATTCTAATGGATGTTGGATGGTTAGCTTCTAGTGGTTTTAATTTTCAGTTTTCTAACTACTAATGTTTTAAGCATCTTTTTTTATGTGTATCTATATTATTTCATAAAGTAACTGTTGAATAACCTTTGCCCATTTCTATCATATTTTTGTCTTATATTTTAATAAGCATATAGTCTGGGCTTTACAAAGCCTATACACATTGTGGAGGGCTTCTCTGGTTTCACAGTTGTAGTGGTTTGAATGATAAATGACCCAGCCTGCCACCAGAGTCTTGGGCATTTGAACACTTGCTCTCTGGTTGGTGACACTGTTTGGGAAGGTGGCAGCCTTAACACATCCTTCCTGGAGGAAATAGATCATCAGGGGGCAGAGTTTGGGATGAAAAAGCCTGTATGATTTTCAGTTCACTCTCTCTGCTTCTTGCCAGTTGTTGAAGACGTACCATCAGCATCTATCTCCTGCTATCATGCTGTCTCCACCACTATGGACTCTACCTATCTGGAAGCCAAAATAAACTTTTTCTTCTATAAGTTGCATCAGTCATGGTATTTTATCATAGCAACAGATGCAGATGCCCACAGCCAAATATTAAGCAGAGCTCAGGAAATCCTGCAGAAGAGGGTGAGAAAGTCAGAAAGAGCCAGAGAAGTCACGGACACAGGAGAACACATTCCACAGAATCAAATGGGTTTCTATGGGTTTACAAAGACTGAACCAACAGCCAGGGGGACCTGTTTGGGTCTGACCTCTGTCATCTGCATGTATGTTAACAGTTGTATAGCTTGGTGTCCTTGTGGAATTCTCTCTCACTCTTTTGCCTGTCCTTGGGACCCATTTCCTCCTACTAGTTTGCCTTATGCAGCTTTGACATGAGGGGGTATGCCTAATCTTATTATAAGTTTGATATGCCATGTTTAGTTGATATCCATGAGAGGACTTTTTCAGAAGAGAAATGAGGAGTGGATCTAGGGGAAAGAGGAGGTTGGGGAGGGATTAGCAGGAGAGTAGAGAGAGAAAACTTAAATATATTGTATGAGAGAAGAATAAAAAAATATGCAACATTTCCAGGACTACAATACCTGGATGTATTTATAATGCAACATTTTACTTCACCTGTAAATGTCTTTAATTACTTAAAGGATAACACTTATATTTCATATGGCATGTGGCCCAACTAGAATAATCTTTCCTGAGAGGACAACCAGAGGCCTAAGTTAAAGTTTCCTTTTGAGTGACTGTACTGGCTAGTATTATATCAACTTGACACAAGCTAGAGTGATCAGAGAGGAGGGAGCCTCAATTGAGAGCATGCCTCCATAAGATCCAGCTGTAAGTCACTTTCTTAATTAGTGATCAATGCAGGATGGCCAGCACATCATGCTTGATCCTGGTTCATTAAGAAGGCAGGCTGAGGAAGCCATGAGGAGCAAGCCAGTAAGCAGCGCCCCTCCATGGTCTTGGCATCGGCTCCTGCCTCCACATTCCTGCCTTGTTTGAGTTCCTGTCCTGACTTCCTTCAATGATGAACAGCACTAGGAATTGTAATATGAGTAAACCTGTTCCTTCCCAAGTTGCTTTGGGCAGGGTGTTTTATCATAGCAATTTTAACCCTAAGACAATGATTCAATCTCTCTTGTCTATTCAACTGAAGCACAGTCTGCTTTCCTGAGTGTGAGTCAGTCTTTCTTTCTCTTTCTTTCTTTCTTTCTTTCTTTCTTTCTTTCTTTCTTTCTTTCTTCCTTCCTTCCTTCCTTCCTTCCTCCCTCCCTCCTTTCTTCCTTCCTTCCTTCCCTCCTTCCTTCCCTCCTTCCTTCGTTCCTTCCTTCCTTTCAGAGTGGGAATGCTTTGTGGAGAGAAGAGGGAGGGCTCAAGGGTGTCTAAATCAAGGCTGTTGGTATAGAAAGCCACAGCTAAGTCACACAGACACTGCACAACCCATGTGGTTGTTGGTGGGGTGTCTATATTTGGGCCTCTCTGGTCTATCATAAGTTGGTAGTAGGAATAAGAGAGCTGCCAGTTATTAAGCTAGTCTGGGTATATTTGGGTTTATTGCAGAGGCTGTTGGGTGTCTTTCAGTACCTTAATCATAGAGGGCTATCTTGATTCTTACAAGTCTGTCTTAGAGATGACATACTGACCATCTAGGTGATGAATTGGTTTCATGGTGCCTGCTACTGTAAGGATGAAAAAAATTTAGCCTATCTCTCCCTAGACTCTGCTACCTAGCAGTGAATAGGCAAAAGGTCACATTCTTGACTGTTTATGACAGGGCCGATTAGGACAGCACCTGTAAGTGAATGAACACAGGAAATGAGCCTTGTTATACTACCCAGAAGCCCTAGCGAAAGCAGACTTCCTGGGCTGAGCGCAAGCTTGGATAGTTCATATTGATCGGTCCACACTGGATGCTATGAGATGATTGGTTTATGATGTACGGGCTTTGCTGTAACCCTAAAAGCTGTCTAAACCCTGTACCTGGGTTCCCAGTCCTCTACCCCACGTGGAGTATGGCTGTGGACCCCAGTGCACTGGAATTTAAAAGACCTCATGCTTTTGCATCAAGACCGCTTCTCGTGAGTGATTTGGGGTGGCCGCCTTTCCTGAGTCGGGGTGTGAGGGTCCATGCCCTCTGTGGGTCTTTCACTACAGGTGGTGGTTCCCAGTCCCATTTGTACCTTCTAACATTTGTGCTCTATTATGTGTCTTCCTTAACAGGAATCATTGTGAACCTGAAAAGGAAGGTGAATTCAGCTGTTGTGCATTAACTCCTGGTCTTGAGTGCCAGTATTTCTATAGTTAGAGTTTGTGTTAACTCATAGCACCCAGAAGCCTCACCTTAAATGAAGGCATGCATCAGAATTTGAGCACACTGTCACAGAAACACCAGGCATAACATTCCAGCTCATGAATTATTCTTCCTGGCTGTAGACAGCAGCCAGTGTTCCACTGAACTTTAGTATTGACATTATTTTAGAGATATAGTAATAGTACCATGTTCTATCCTTCTGCCTAATTATTTTAGATAACACAAGAAAATAAGTTTTAAAAAATAAACAACATACACCACATGTATCATCCATGTGTTTATGTGTGAATTTTGCCTTTAGAAATTGAGTTTCTGAAGAACAATGACCTTCTAAGGCAGTACACAGGCAAGCAGGCTACCAGAGTCTGTTGGATGAGCCCAGAAGAATCCACTTGATCCTCTTCTCATTAACCAGTAATGATCAATTCTCCCACTAACAATGGGTCAGGGGCTGAGATTGTCATAGTAAGTATTTATTCTCTAAAGGCCAAACTTAAATACATCATTCATTCATATATATTTACATACTTCCTTTCACCTATACATATAAAAACCACTATCAAAGCTCAAATCTGAAAACCTTAAATGAGTACCTTTAGTAAAATATCTGAGGATATGGATTCATATTTTTTTGTTCAGTTTAAAGAAGAATTCATCTTCCATCATAGGAAAGCACCTGGTTTCTTGGCCTTTGAAGTTTTGAAAAAGAAAAATAAAGTTTCTTCTCTCCATTAGACATTTGTTGAATTGCCTGGAATATCACTTTCCTTTAATTTTATTGATGTATAGTAAGTTACATTTAAATAAACACTGGCATGGTGTCATGTTAGCTTGGAAGCTGAAACTGCATTGCAAGGAATAAATAAGATCCAAATAGTCCTTCTCCATCAGATCTTCATCCAGCCTCTTCATTTCCGCAGCCTGATCAACATCAGATAGGGAGAGGCACCTTCAGGCTTCAATTCGCTACAGAAAAGACAATGTACATTATCAGAGTGGAACAAAGGATAGCCTAGTAATACAATGACTATACTACTAGCATCATCCCTACCTCAACTGCTACCATACTTTGAAATCTTATCTCAGAGATAAGATTAATGTATTGATGTGTTCCCCATGGGAATCACACTGGGAAAGCATTCACCATCAGCAATTTCAGCTTGGCAGAGCAGGACAAGAATGAGGAGGACTGGGAGGAATCAGAGATTTAGAACCTTTCCACTTGGTGAAACTATGCAACAGAGTAAACTGAAAATGAGAAAATGCAAACATCTGTTCCTAAACTGTGTTGCAGTTCTGTATGTTTCTTGGAGCCTGAATCTTCTCCCTTACTATGTGAGTCTAGTATGTAACACTATACATACATGTGCTTATGTATCCACGTACACATCTATATATGCATACATGTGTTTTATTTTGCAATTTGGACCCTTATCTCAAGTAGATCACCTCTTGTATTGATCTCGAGAAACATCTGTATGCCTTAATGGTCTAGGGGTTAGAAATCTTGTGTACATGTAGTGAGATATAGAACAGAACTATGTCTTGGGGGTAAATATGACTGATTTGTCTAGACATGTTTTAAATGCTATCTCCCTCAAATTATAATTCCATTTTATATTGGAAAACCCAGGATTAATTTACCAAACCAATTACATTTTTTACAGCAGCTAGACAACTCTATTTTGAGGATGAAGATCAGACTTTATGACCTTAACACTGTAATTTTTATTTAAAAAAATGAACAGAACACCCAGTTTCAATATTTCAATGAAAAAATTTCCCCCTAGTTGACTTCTTTTAAGACACAAAAAGAAAACAAATGCTTTAAAAGTATAATCTTGAAAGCTAGGAGTGGTGGTGTACATCTATAACCCAGCACTTGAGAGGCAGAGGCAGGCAGATCTCTGGGAGTTTGAGCCCAGCCTGGTCTACAGACTGAGTTTCAGGACAGCCAGGACTGTTACACAGAGAAACCCTATCTCCATAAACCAAAAGAAAAAAGAATCAAAATCTGTTAATTTTCTGTAGCTAAAAGCCACCACCAAACACCATTCTCTTCAGCACACCCCTGTACCAGCCAGATTAGCAGCATCAATGCAAAATCACTGTAAACAGAGTCAGTGTTTCCTCCACAATTCCCTCCACTGTTCCCTACAGTGTCCAAGCGCCTTGAATATGACAGAAAGCTCACCAAGTTCTAGGAAAGAGTTTTGTAAGGCAGGGAACCAAACACTGACCATCCTCCCCTCTCCAGGAAAGTCCACCTCTCTGAGTGTTGCCACGATAGTGACCAACAAGTTTGAGAATTTAGCACCTGGAGATCTGAGAGGATGCAATTCAAAGTGGCTTCATTTCTATTCTCTAATTACATACATCAGCAAACTGAGTCATTGTCGCTAGGAGTTTTAGAGAAAGAGAGAGATGAATCTGTCTGAATTCCTAGACTAATGTTAATCATAGCAAGTCTGATTTTCCACCCCAGGCCCCGTGCCCAAGAGTCTAAGAAAATGAGATTCTTCCCTGTAGGGACCAGACAGTGGAATTCAAAAGCAGCTAGAACAGGAAGTTTTTAATCACGTTTTAAACGATTTGTGTAATTGCAGGCTATGCTTTCTCTTAAGTGATCATTTCCTAAGGCTTATGGAAATGAGGTCCGAGCCCAAATTCAAATTCTGAATCAGCCAACAACAATAAATATCATACACAAAGAAATTTGTCTGATTTTTAAGTATCATTTTGATTGCTTCCTTGGGTCATCATCACTTCTGAAGTTGGTGAAGTTCTTAGCAGTACAAAAAATAAAAAGAAATAGGAGGACCTCTAGGTTTACTGGGAATAGTTACAATCTATTTGGTTGACAGCTGACAAGGAAATTGTAGTAAGTATTAAAAACTAGTGATTAAAACATCCACTAATGGCACAAAGCTAAGAAAGATGGAGAATGTAGGAAAGTTATGTGTAATATTTGAAAAAAAAAATGTGCTAAAGCTAAGGTTAGGTTTGATTTAAGGGAAATAAGAGGGGAGAAAGATATGCAATGCATGCCCTTACTGAGTAAGTGTTAAGTGTTAATATAGCCACCTTTAAGTATGCAGTCATGGATAAAATGAACAGTTCTGAAGAGTATTTGAGCAATAGATAGTGTGATGACTAATCTTCATTACGAACCTAATTGGTTCAGAGTAACTTAGCAGACACACTTCTGAGGATCTCTTTCAGGGGGTTTCTAGATATGATTTGAGGTGGAAGATGGGAAGGGGAAAGACCTTACCTTGTAGAGACAGCCTTAGAAACTGATGTCTTAGGAGTTTCACTCCAATTCGCCACCTTGGTCTTTAGTTCCTTATTCTAAAATTGGAGGGCAAAAGGTGCAGAGATCAGATAGCAAATCCACATTGCCTACATCTTCCATGTTTCCACTCTACTTCTCACCTGCCCCATGTAGTGGTTATTTCATTAGGACCAAGAAAAACAATATCAAATGCACCCTGAAAAGTATATAATGTACCGGGGGGGGCGCAAAAATATACTCTGCGATTCATCCTTTGAACTATTTGAGTTTACAGAGATTCCTTTTTATGGGAAAATGACAATACTATTAGTGGTACACATGATACTGATTACATATTTATCCTTTTGATGCAAGCACTTGATTATGAACCCTGTAAAAATAGGTTCAGTTTCTTCTTAATAGTTCATGGTATCTTCATCTTCAAGTTTCTTTTTGAACATTTGGACCTTTTAAATCTTTACAATAACATTTAATTTAAGTCAAAAGTAGAATTTAATACAACTGTAAAATTACTTTTAAGTTTTTTAAGAGTTAGTTCTTTACATATCTGCCATGTGGGAAGCTCTTGGCTTTACAGTCTTCTACTGTGAAGGAAACCTGGCTCACACCTCTTTTCTAACCAATGCCCAAGAAAGCCTCTCATTTTACACTGAGTTTTAAAAACATTGAAAAGCAGGACAATTTCAGCAGACACTGAGATATAATTAAGCTTGGAGGCAAAGCTGGGAAGCCAGAGTGGATGTAGATGGAGAAAAATAGACAATGACCTGACAGGTCAGGAGAAAGTGTGTAGACAAAGAGTCACGAAGCCTCACCATCTGACTAGAGAAAATTTACACAAGGCCAGCCTTAACCAAGCCTCTAGCCCAAGATCATCACCTGTTCTGCCAAAACAGTGAGTGTTCATGAAAATGTGACTAAACCTTTAACATTAATTTACTGTGTAAAGCTAGTAATGAAAAGTTAATACATTTATTCAATAATAATTTAGCCACAAGTTAATAGTAAGCTACAATTTCTCATGCACAGTAGACGTATATATACTGATAAAGACACTAAAGATACATGCATACACACCAGGTTGCATGCACATTCAGACACAGTCAAATGCAATTGCAGAGACACATCCAAAGTCACACAGGCACACAATCATACACAAGCATATACACATGTGGTAACTTATCAATTATGTGTAGGCACACACTTACACACACATAACACACTTTTACCAACACTGAAACAGACAGTACAGATTCTCTTCTTACCTGAGCTTCAAGTATGGTGACCTTTTCTTTCAAATTTTCAATGTTTTTATCTTGTTCTTTTAAAGTATTTTTTAATGCTTCCATCTAAAAACAAGGAAGAACAATTGGAAAATCTTGTCAGACCATGGAGAATAATTATGTAAATCAAGAATTACACAGCTTTCTATGGTCAGATGATGCTCATCAAATGAAAAAATATGCAATCCCCCAGCATGAGCTGAGCCAGCAGGCCCTTTAAGATCACAAGCCAAATTGCCACCCAGGGAGGTAACTACTAAATGGTGCCACCCTCTATTTTCTTCTATAGGAGAAACCTACTCACAGAAAATCCAACAGGTACCTAGATGAGGGAAGGCTGCAAATTAGTTCTCATCCTGCAGAACTTGCAGAGGAACAGAGTGCAAGCTACTTCCTGCTTAAATATACTCCTTAGAGTCACTGCTTATGGAAGTATAAAAAATGTAACAGTCAAGTCTGGTTGTATCTGGAATGGGGGCTACCCAGGAAGCTGAGGCAGGAGGATTACACATTCAAGATCAGTCTGGGTTGCATAGCAATTCCCAGACTATCTTGGTCAATTAAGCAAGACCCTATCTGAAATTCAATGTAAAATAGGGCTGTTGCTACAACTGTGTTAGAGCATTTTTAACTAGCATATGTAAGGCATAGGCAATCTACAACAATGAAAAAAAAAAAAACTCAGTATCACATCCAACCCAAACAGATTACTTAAGAAATATTAGAATCTCCTGATGCACAAAGTCTTCTGTATAACAGAGACCAACATCTGACTCAGAACATTTATGGTTGTAAAAAAAAAAAATCACTTAAATATCTCAAGAGCAGTTAAGCAGTTTCTCAAACTCTCTTCATCTAGAACCTGACAGGTGTTGACATTATAGCCAAGAGAAGCTCCTGAGCCAGGTTGCCTACGAACTCAGCCCACCAACTGCCCAGGTGTGCTCTTTGCACTGTAAACCTGCCATCATCCTGATGTTACCCTGACCTCCTCGATGACACTCCGCAGGCTCTGGTGTTGGGAGTGAATCACGAACTGCAGATGACAGATCTGTTCCTGGAGGATAGAAATCTCTGTTTGAAGATCCTGGCAACTGGGAATACACAGAAAGGAGGAAGACGTGAAGGAATGTTTTGCTGTACTGGCCCTTCCCTCCTGCTGTTGAGCCTTGTGCAGTAAAGGTCCCAGGGACCCATGTACCATACAAGGAAGGTGGAAAAGAATAGTCCTGTGCTCTGCTTGCATAACTTATGCATTCAGGTCAAAAGCTGCTTCTGGGTAGGGAAATGGCTCAGTGGCTAAAAGTGCTTGCCTTACAGGCATAAGGACCTGAGTTTGGATTTCCCCATGTAGAGCTGTGTATGGTAGCAAGCATGTGTAACCCCAGAATTTCCACAGCCACCAAGGCTGAGACTGACAAATGGCTAGAAGCTCAAGAGGCCAACCTGCTTGGCACATAGAGAGGGAAACAAGAGGCCCCATTTCTATGGTTTCTGTAGCACAGTCCTTTAAAAGATCCACTTCCCAGCAGTGGGAAATACCAGCAACTAAATGTATAGTCAATCTGTCTTTCTTCCCATGTTCATGGGCAGAAGTATTGGGAAAGAAATGGGTGGATATCTGCTCTTCATAGAAATGTTCGTGCTTCTGAGATTAGAGTAGACCAGATTGTGAACTCTCAGGCATGTCATCATTTCTAAAATGCATGTTTAATTATCTGCCATCATAGAGCCCTCATCTAGCAGCTGATGGAAACAGAAGCAGACACCCACAGCTAAACACTGAGCCAAACTCCTGGAATCCAGATGCAGAGAGGGAGGAGTGATAAGAAAATGGGGGCAAGACCAGGCTACAGAAACCCACAGAGACAGCTGACCTGAACAAGGAGGAGCCCATGGACACCCAGACTGATAGCTGGGAAACCAGCATTGGACTGACTCAGACCCCCTGAACATGGGTCTCAGTTAGAAGGCCTGGGCAGTCAAAGGTACCTCTGACTATAGAACCAGGATGTATCCCTGCTGCACAAAAGGACTTTGGAGACACATTCCCAGTAGAGGGATACTCCCTTAACCTAAAGGGAGGAGGAAGGGCCTAGTCCCTACTCCAAATGACTTGACAGATTTTGTTGATCCCTCCTGGAAGGCATCACCCTCCCTGTGGAGTGTGGGGGAGAGGGAGGAATGGGATGAGAGGGGGTCAGGGGACATGGGAGGGAGGAAAGGAGAGGGAACTGGGATCAATATGTAAAATAAGAAAAAATAATAATAAAAGAAACAAAATCATATAAAGAAATGCATGTTCAGAGAGTGGCTGCCACCGCACAAGGGCACAGAGACATCAGATTTTAGTTCTCTCTGGACTTCATCATGAACAGCTCCCATGACAGGGTAAGGGAAGCTTGGGGAGATTTCATGACATCCAGAGAAGGGTTTACATGCCAAAGGAAGAGGTGGGGAACTCCGACTGCCACCAAGGGCTGTGGACTCTGGAGGTCTTCAAACAGTCTAAACAGAATGAGAGGAGTGGAAACCCAAAGAGTCAGCAATCCTTGGGTTTCAGGGAGACTGGGGCCAGGCAATCAGGGCAACTGAGATGTCTTGGGATGCACAGGAGATTCAGGAGATGGGAGGACTTGGGGGGGACCTCCAAAAGCCCAGTTCTGGGTCTGAGGATCAGCAGAAGGCTAATACAGAAGCTAATGTTAAAATTTGAAACTTCCTCCAGTGAAGAAAGAAAAAGAAGTAACAATGGGCCCGTTAATGATCAGAATTGGGTTTCCTCTGGGCAGTAAAGAGGCAGGACTCTGGGTGCTCTGTTGAGAGAAAGGACTTTATCACACATGTATATGGCTTAGGGTCATATGTGTAGAAAGAATGAAATTGGCAAAGGGCCTCTATCACACTGGCTTGTAGGCAAGGCTGTGGGGTATTTTCTTGATAAATAATTAATGTGGGAGGGCCCAGAACATTAGGACAGTGCCATCCCTAGGTAGGTTGTCCTGAGGTTGTCCTGAGTTACAGGAGCAAGCAGGCCACACAAGCCATGAAGAACAAACCAGTAAGCAGCATTCCTCCATGGCTTCTCCTTAATTGTCATACAGGGTGTTGTTCTTTTGCTACAGTTATAGGAATGAAACTGGAGAAGGGGGTGGTGGTGGTCCCATGTGAGTGGAGTCCCAAGGTAAGGGACCACGAGGGAGAGTATAGCAGGTTCCATAGCAGGTGACTGTGACCAAGGTGGGAGGGAATAACACACTAGGCAGATAGAGCTTGAATGAGGAGTTTATTTAGAAAGGGGAGTGAAGGGAGAAGGGAAGAGACATAGAGGGACCAGGAACAGAAGAGAAGAGGAGAGAGAGAGAGAGAGAGAGAGAGAGAGAGAGAGAGAGAGAGAGAGAGGGAGGGAGGGAGAGAGCACTGTAAGGCAAAAGAGAGCATAAGTGGGCAGCGGGCTGTCTTTTAAAGGGGTCCTTTACACCTGCCTGCAGACTAGAACTCATGGAACCCTGGGCTGACCAGAGTACTGCCTGAGTGCACTCTGCCAGGTGACTGGGGCAGGCCAGTGTAATGCCTGAATCCTTACACAGGGAAGTAAGGAAACTGGTCTCAGAGGCTATGAGAAGTTTCCAGAAATGAAAGAAATCAAAACCTTCCATGGCAGCAAGCAAGGCTCTGCTACATATAGAAGTACTGAAACCAAACCAGCCAGAAATCTTGTGAGTCTGCAATTAGGAGTACAGAGTTTGTCCTTGAGAAGGCACTAGAAGGAATTCCATTAATGTAAAAAAAAAAAAAATCCATTAATGTGAGCTGCAAAATACTTTACACAAGATGATAGCAACAATATGAAGTTAACACTACTTTTAAGAAAATAGCTTTTCTTTTCTCTATATTTTGCTTATGCCTATCTAACCTTGGACTAAGAGAAATATCTTGTATTTGTGGTACATTTACCAAGCTTTTATTGCTTCAACTTAAGAATCTAATTCATGCTGATTTCGCTCTTGCTATCACCCAGTGAAGTGAACAATGCCTCCTCACACAACTCAGCAAAGGTAAGAAGGAAGATAAGTGTTGTGATGTCTACAACTTGAAAGTGGAATGAGACTGGATGTTCAGTTACCTTTCTGGAAACACAGAGCACTCACTTCCCCAAGAATTTTCCAAAACCTCCACAAGAATATTTTGAGAATTCCATATGGATTGCTCATATTCTGCAGACTAAAAGGAGAGGTTGGTGTGCTTTGAAATCAGACAAGTCACCTGTTATTTGTTTGTTGCTTGTTGGTTTTTTTTTTTAATAGAAATCATCAAACTGAGACTACCTAGACTCTTAAAGGAAGGAACATTGTGTAAATCCATAGTTCAGTTACATGAGAAAGACCTTAATATTTAAGGGTAAAAGTAGGAAAGCAAGCAAGAGAAAGGGAAGAAAAGAGAAAAACCCAAAATAAACATAACTAGTGACTATCTGTAGGTTATACCAGAGTCTGAGCTGCTCTCTATACATCCTTCTTTACCAGGATGGACAGGGATACTCAGCTATTATATGTCTGCTTCCTTGGGTTCTATGTTTATTCACAGGGAGGAAGATAGGAAAAATAATGGCTTGGTATGACAGACTATTCAAATGTATGTGTGCAATTTAAATTTTAGCCTTATTCTGACCATTGTCATAAGTGGCAGACAAAAAGCACAAGTATAACAAAAGAGAAGAAAATATAGATATAATACTAGAGGAATGAGAAATGAGGGAAGTCAAAAGATCAAGGAATAAGGATGTCTGTGACTATATGGTAAAGTACAATGAAAATTTGACCTTTGGAGGCTCATAACAGTACCTGAAAACATAGTGATTAAAGTCCTAGCTGGTTTAACTAAGACATCCAAATAGAGTATGTATCATCTTGACATCAGAACATATCATGGCTGTAGTGGAGGAGGGAAGAAGGGAGGGGATGACAGATGGGAACATGAGAGATTGAGAAGACTGAGGTGGGGAAGGGATGGGGGGGGAACAATGAAAGAGATATCTTGATAAAGGGAGCCATGATGGGTAAACCATGATGGGTAGAAAACTGGTGCTAGAGAAATTCTCAGGAATCCACAAAGATGACCCTAGATAAGACTCCTAGCAATAGTGGACAGTGTGCTTGAATGGGCCTTCCCCTTCAATCAGATTAGTGACTATATTGGTTGCCATCATAGAACCTACATCCAGTAACTGATGGAAGCAGATGTAGTGACACACAGCCAAGCTTAGAATCAAAAGGAAAAGAAAAATCTAGAGAAATGTGATATGAGCCAGGACCTAACATTCCAGAGCATTTCTTGGGAGCAACTGAGCAGGACTGCTGCTGTGAAGACATAAGCCTCATAAGTAAGGACTGGGACATAAGAGGTTGACAATTATGGATATGGACAAGCCACCCTGACAAACAACAACTGCTTTCATATATGTATGTATGTATATATATGTATATATATACATACATATATATATATGTGTGTGTATACATATATATATATAATTTTTTCTTATTTTACATATTGATCCCAGTTCCCTCTCCCTCCCTCCCATGCATCCCAACCCCTCTTCCACCTCATTATCCCCCACTTCACAGAAAGGGTAATGCCTTCCAGGAGGGATCAACAAAATCTGTCAAGTCATTTGGAGTAGGGTCTGGGCCCTCCCTCCTGCCTCTAGGTTAAGGGAGTAACCCTCCATGTGGAATGTGTTCCCAAAGTCCTTTCATGCACCAGGGATGCATCCTGATTCCATTGTCAGAGGTCCCTTCAACTGCCCAGGCCTTCTAACTGAGACCCATGTTCAGGGGGTCTGAGTCAGTCCAATGCTGGATACCCAGCTATCAGTCTGGGGGTCCATGAGTTCCTATGTACAGCATTATTTGTAATAGCAAGAACCTAGAAGTAACCTAGACGCCCCTCAACTGAAGAATGGATAAAGAAAATGTGGTACATTTACACAATGGAATACTACTCAGTGGGGGAAAAATGGATGGAACTTAAAGAAACCATCCTGAGTGAGGTAACCCAATCACAAAAAGAGGAACATGGTATGTACTCACTCATATATGGATTTTAGACATAGAACAAAGAATCACAATTCACACTGCCAGAGAAACTAGGATCCATACTATTTCTTTCATTTTCTCTGGAGTTTGAAGAGTGCCAGGCTATCATAGTTTCACTTGATGACTAGCCAGTTCGATGTAGACTATTGAAGAAACTCATAAACAAAGATAAAAGCACAAAGATACACCAAACATCTTTGAATACATGGAGAAGTAGCAGATTCACTCTTCAGAAGAATGAATTCTCCCAAGTGGGTCTCCAGGACCCTGCTGTACTCTGGCCCCTGATGCCTCTTGGGTAAAAATTGGGACTCAAGTCTCTTAATCCTAGGTATTTGACATCCCTTCTCCTTGCATCTTCCCTACTTTATCTGCTTCCTCTAGATGTATAAATCCCACCTGCCTACAGCCCAGCACACCCAGGAACAGGAAAGTGATCAGAAACTGCTTTTTAGGAAGTAAGTTTTCAAACCTTTTTGAATGTGCATCATTGGACTTGAGTTGCAGCAGCTTGCCTTCCAAACACAATTTTCTCTCCAGGAGTGTTTTCTTTTCCTGGGAGAAAACAAAATACAGCTTTTGTTTGTATGTATGTGTGTGTGCTTGCAAACTGTTCACAATAGCTGTGTCTTGTGATACTAGAAATATAGTCTGTGCCTCAGAGCTCATCTCATCTGAGCAATTACAATGTGCCACCGGGAAGCCTTACCAGGCAGTGTTCTTTGTGTTTTAAAAGGAAATCAGACCTGTGCTGTGAGTATTGTCTAAAGTGGGCCTGGTGGTGCTTGTGGTTAATCTTTGCACTTTGGAGGTAGAGACAGAAGGATCAGGAGTTCGAGGTCAGCCTGAGCTGCATGATACTCTGTCTCAAAACAAGTAAATGTCTCCATAACTCACTCATTTATCCTGAATGACAAAGCTTGCTCCTTCTCCAGCCCACTGCCAAAATGGAGCCCTTACAGTGCAACTTTGCCTACCCACCTTGCCCGTGCCATCTGGAGTAAGAAACCTGCATGGCCTAACCTGATGTGAATTCCCTTACCACTGCACCTGCCTCTTTACCACATTAGGAGAACTGTTGGTATCCAAGGACACCCCTGCACACACTGTGATGTTCCCACCTGTTCTCACAGCATCTGTCACCATGTAGTAAACAGGTAAATGGACGCTTAATGAGGGATCGAGGCCACAAATGTTAAAGCTACTTCCTAATGAGGAAGCGGGAGAAACTAGAAGACTGAGAAAGAGTATCTTTTAAAATGAGGTGGTTTAATTATTAAACCCAACTGTTCACCCCAAAGGAAAACTGACAAGTCCACAAAAAGCTAAGCTTGGGTAAGCAGAGTTTGAGCTGCTGGTTGGAGCCACATTGGGAAACCCAGGAAAGGCTGCAGGGAGGAAAGAATGGTATAGACAGCATGGGCAGCACTGACTAGCAATGTTTCAAAACATGCCCAATGCTTTTTAATTCTAAAGGTTATAGCTTAATAGTCTTAAAGAATATTAATTCAATCTACCTACACTGTTAACACAACCCTGTATTCTGTCCACCCATATGTTCCCCGACATACCCAATGCCTATTAATGCCTTATATAAATTAACTATACTATCATACTGGTTCCAAAATTAGTGATAAATTAAATTTTAAAATGTATTCATTATCTATTTATATGAGATATATTTTTAACTTTATGAATATTTCTAAAATGAAGTTAAAATGAAATAAGTGTAGTGGAGACAATTTGTGTGGGATGAGAACCCTACTTGCTTCTCTGGAAGGTAGTTGGACTTCAATACACAGTAATTTAAAGGTACCAATTCCTTCATATCCTGTGTAAGTTGCTACTTTTGATTATGCTAACATTTAAATTATTGTCTTGCCTCATAGAAATGATTCCACATTAACCCTTTCCGTGTTAGCCTTAAGTGTCTGCAAATAATTCCCAAGAGACAGGAGGATACCTTGAGGCTGATGTTGATGCCTGCACTCCCAAGGAAACACTTTCACAGACTGTGTATTATGAACATGTGGGGTGCAGAGAACATGTGCACTTTCTCTTGATTGATGAATGTTGTAAGCCAGGGTCAGAGACAGAGCAACTAAAAAGAATGTGTTCTACCCTAGCCAGGTTCTTTCATATGTCATGGGCTCTTCATGAACCCCTCTTTGGTAATGTATGAAATCACACTTGCCTGGGACACACTTCTTTCCAATGCCTTCCTCACATACATAACACCTCACTATGAGTATCTGCTTCATCTCTGAGAGTTCAAGATTTCCCTCTGAGAATTCAAGACTTCTCTCTTCACTGTTGATCAAAATGGACATGATTATGGTGTGGTAAATGTTAACATAGGAATGTCTTAACAACCCAGAACATAATCTTTTTAAAAAATGATTACATGTGTGCTTACTTATTGTCTGTGTGCATGTGCCACAGTATGTATGTGGGTGTCAGAGGACAGTTTGTGGGAAGATGTTCTCTCATTACACCATACAGGTCCTGGGGCTCTAACTCAGGTTGGCAGGGCTGGTGGCATGCTGCTCTACCTGCTAAGCCATTTGGCTGGCTCCAGAACATATTCTTTATCCCACATTATAAAACAGATGGGTATAATAGGAAAGATTATATGTAGAAATGAAGATCATGGAATGGTTTCTTGTTTGCTCTCTCCTCATTTATAAAACAATGAGGAAGAAGTAGGCGATCTCTGAAGTGCTTTTGAGCCCTTAGATTTCAGTGTGGCCAAATCAATGACACTAGCAAACAAATGTGAACCAACAAAATCGCACTGCTGGCAAAAGGAACATATGCCATGCTAAAATGCTCTTACAGGGCGTTTCTGCTAGCTTCTTGCTGTGTGTTCGGAATTCATTCTCGCTGCATTCCTGATGAAAGTGGGACAGATGGCAGAGGTTTTAAGTAATGTCTTCATTACCAGACCTCACAGCACTAATGGCTATTTACTGGAGCAAGGCCTTGCTCAAGTGAGTAGCAAATGAATCCTTCTCAGGGAGCAGCCACTGCTAGGGCAGTATTTCTAAGCCTTTCTGAGGAGGTATACTTTTCATCTTCACTTCTGTTTTGAACTTGTATCTGTCCCCACTAATACAGAAGGCACAGCATTCTCTCCTTTATTCCAATATGCACTCTCCACCCAGGAAACTTCATACAGACTGCTTTCTCGTTATCTCCTGAGCCCAAGGTGTCACCAAGCCTTGCTCCTTATTTTACTTATTTCCACACTTGTTTGAAAAATATGAAATAATGTTATGCTAAATGTGTTTTTAAAACAACAGCCTTGCACATTGATCTCTATTCAATCCCCCATTCACCTCCACTAACTGGAGAGACTCTAACAGGCCCCTTTACTTACTCCTGAATGGATTTTATAGAATAAATTTTATAGAATAAATTTTAGATGGTTGTCTCATAGCCTTGCTGAGCATGACATCCTATATACTTACTATGCCACAGAGCTCTGAAAGAGAATCACAATTATGAGCCAATATCAACACTCTTGGTTCACAATGCCCTACCTTACATGAGATTTCAGCCTCTCCAAAGTACCCTCAGGAAAACTAAAAACAGGAAATCTGGAAGGTTCCTTATGCTCAGCAAATCCAGTTATATACATTGTAATCATCATAAATGGTGATTATTTCTAGTTCATTCACAAATAACAACATATCTCCCATGCCCAGGTATGTGCATCTGATGTCGGGTACTGAAATATCTTGAAATAACAGTAGAATAAACACACCCAAGAGTCTAATATGAGCTCACACCTAGCACTGAACTCCTGGAGTTACTAGAAAAGGCAATTTTCTTGCACTGCTCTTTTGTTAAATGTCATGCTCCCACAGGTGGCCATTAGCCTCACTCTGGGTTTTAGAGATGGTGATTGAAATTCTGCTCTCCCATTTCAAGCTGGTTAATCAGTTTTTTGATTCCATAATTCTATTTGCCATACAGAACTTTCTTCCTTACCTCAATGAAAATATGCACTGTGCTACCTTAGTCCCTCAAACCATCTACTGCAATATAAAATATTCTAACACTATCAGGCACTCAACAAATACTACAGCTTTCCCAAAAATCCTGAACTGTCTTGCTGGGGTAAGCAAACTTCCAAGGGATTTTTGATTCTGGGACTGACACAGTGGTCCATGGCATGATAAAGATGTAGGTGAATGCTATTAGTAGGTCTGTTATTTGTGTGCTCATGTCCTATGTCACATGACCTTCATTTGGACTATAGACTTAACAGTCAGAGTGTTATCAAATTTATATTGTTGGGAAATATTTTAAAATGAATTCAACTTCTTTTGGTCAGAAACCTGCATAGTTCTGAAAGGTTACAACCAGTAAGTGAAAGTTCCCTTTGTGTCAAAAACCTGAGAAAACTCAAATGAGTGGAGGCTGAGTAGATTAGGGGCTTATCCAGGAATACAATGAGAGGGATGATGAAGACATAATTTGCTAGAAGTAGAAGCCTAAGACTATATTCTTATCCAATCTCAATTTAGTTTCTGATATTCCCATTTGTTTTGCTGGTACAAGACCATCTTCCTCATTTTGTCTGAATTCTGAATTCAAAGACACATACTTAAATTTATGTTATTTGTTTTGGTATTTGGAGTGCTAACCACTGGAAGGTATTTCATGAGGCTTTCATAGTTTTGTTCTCCCCTGCTCTTCTCTAAGTAGACCAAAGTTTTATTGCACAGTTTGTAGCCACTGTTCCTTATAAACCCCAAGCATTCATGGGCTGAAAGGGGAAAACAAAATACAAGATACAACCCTGACTAATGCATCTAGATTTATCAAACTCTAATTTATTTATTTATTATTGGGCTGATAAATGCTAGATGATAGGGATCCACTCTGTTATTGTTCCTAACAGGATTGCTTTGTGACCTAACCCATTATTTCTTTCAAAGACCATTAAATACACACATGGACTACAAGGAGAAACTGGGCAAGCCTATTACTACAGAGCAGGTCCCATGAAATATCTAGGGGGAAAAGCAGCATTGTCAAAAGCAGAATTGTGTATATCCACCCACAGATTCATGTCATTCTATCTCCCCTTATATGGCATTGTCGAGATGGAATGACTTTGCTTTTCTAGGCACTTACATTTTCCATCCTCTGCACACGGTTCTCCAGTCCTATGATTTGACCATGCTTTTCTTCAAGTTTTTCTGAAAGTTGACTCAGATTTTCAGCACGTTGCTTTAATGTCTGCTCTTTTTCAAGACTGTTGATCTGTGGTCAGGGAAAAAAAAACGTTTGCTAGACTTTTGTTTTTAATAGTTGTCTAGAATGACTATAACATCTTGTGTATCCAATTAAAAGTGTTGTCTTTCTTTTTCGAAAATACCCTAAAAGCAGTGTAATTGCCCCCACTATATTCCAAGGTTGCCTATTAGATACATAGCTGGGGGCTAAAGGTCACAGAAAAGAAGTGTCCTCATTAGGGAGGGGACTTCAGCTGACTCCCACCTATAGAACACATACATATTTGTGTGCATATATAAAACAGAGCTCAAAATGGCTCAGTTTAAAAAAAAAGAGTATGTATCTGCTCCTGAAAATACCTGGTGTGCCTTCTTGATAGATCGCTCAGGTTAGGGCTGAGCTCCTAATGTAAGGACACATATACCTGTTCCTGTAGGTAACACCAGTCATACAGTGCGTCTCCAGGCCACACATGGCTGACTTCTCCAGCTCATGAGCTGCAGCTGGCGCCAATACCTGGAGTAAACGTTTACAGTCTTCCTGCTTTTTCTTCATGTCTTCAAAATGTGTTTGGTAGTTGTCAAATAATCTCTGGGCCACATTTCTCAAAGCTGCTGCTCCTGCTTCCTGGGAAGCTTCAAGCTAGGAAAAAGTAAAAGTCACACTGCATGTTTAGATATTACAGAATAAAAAGAGTTGAAAGCAGCAGTTTTATGGTCAATTAAAAGCAGTCCCTGATTACAATTTGCATCCTTAGAGATAATTAATAGGGGAGAAGTTGCTAGTGATGAGTAAGAGGAAAGTGGCAAATGCAAAGTCTCTGGTAGGGCACCAAGGTGGTCATCTGCTATGGTGCAGCCAAACCCAAGTGCTATGCACACAAGTGCTTTGCATAGGTAGATGCCATTCTGTCAGTACACAGAGGTGCAATCCTCTTATCACCAATGCCCATTACATACTAACAAATGTGGCTCTGTGAGATAGAAGTGGGACAAGATTGGAGAGGTAAGAACAACCTAAGGAAATGGTCTAAGGTCGCTATTTACAAACCAAAGTAATCATTGTGAGGCTACACATAACTTAAACCCCAAAGTGGCACTCAACAACAGATTAAAGTAAACAGTTAATGGGGTGTTTGATAATAAAGGTTGGCATCAGTATTTGGATTTGAGGGTATGTGTCCATGTTCCCAAGTGCACATAAGTGTGGATGCAGATACAAAGTTCATACATGCATAGAAAAGTCAGAAGTCAACCTTGGGGTTCAATCTTGTTTTTTTTTCCCCTTAAGATGGACCATATTCTAATGCTCACAGGTTAGACTAGGATGTGTAGTCAGCAGCCCCAGGGATCCTCCTGCCTCCACCTCCTGAGCAAACATACACCTTCATGCATAGTTTGGGGGTTGGTGCTGGACTCAGGCTTTCTTGCTTGTAGAGCAAGCACTTAGCTGACTAAGGTATCTCAAAATTTATACCCAGGGACCTTCAAACTATTTCCTTAATACTTAATATAGTCTCCAAAATAAAACAGTGAGACTTAATTTGTACAACATTCCAATATTTTGGCCATGTGCTTGAATATGGTGATTTTTCTGGGTGTGAGTGGGTATCTCGATTAATGCTAACTACTTATGAGCTCTTAGCAGTTGTACCTTGATTTTCAACATTTCATTCTCTCTGTTCATTTCTAGGAGCTGCTGGTCTTTTCTTATGTTTTCCATGAGCAAATACAAAGATTTGGAGTCTGTTGTGGAATCCGAGCCATTCTGAAAGTTTCCAGATTGCTGAAATAAACAAAGACCAAATCAGAAGGAGCTGAGAGTTCCACATCTGGATTCACAGGCAGCAGAAGGAGACTGTGCCACACTGGGCATAGCTTAAGCTTTAGGAGACCTCAAAGACTGTTCCCACAGTGACACACATCCTCCAACAAGGCCACTGTGAACATTGGCGACTTTGATTATCATTCACTACATAAGTAAAAAAGGATTCAAACTGGCAAAAGCAACTCTTTAAACTCAAATTTTGATGATTAATTCTAGACAAACGAGCCAGCTTCCATGTCTTCTGAATTTAAGAGTCTTTGGAAAAGAAATATCCCTTATGCCTGTTATATTTCCCACAGCTTTAAATATGTTTAAATATGTTATTAAAAGTATTGTATATACCAAACAATAACCATGAGACTAGATTAATTAAAATCACACCTATAAATATATTTTGCTTAAACAGAATTGGACTTGCAAACATTCAATGTTAACGGTGTTTCCTTGCCATCACTCCATATTGAATTTCTAATCAGAGACTAGAGTTCCACTGCAATGGAATCCTGTGCAAATTCATGCTCCCTGAAAATGCACCTGGAACATAAATCCACATAGACTCATGGGCATGTGGAGATGATGAGAAAACTAGAGAACATCTCAGTCCACCAGCTTCACAATCTTAGAAACTAAGGAGCAGTGTTCACAATTGTGCAAGTACAAGAGTTTAATACACAGTTTCTAGATCATCATCTGCACTGTCCACTCTTTCACCTTATTTCATGGCAGAGAGAGACACTACCATGCAAACCCACATACCCTGCAGTTTTGATAACAGTGTCTATTATGCATCTATTATGCACCATCTCTTCAATGTTATACACACTTCTTTGCCTAGGTGCTGCAGAGAGAAGAAAGTATTATTCTCTTTACAGAAGTGAGGAAACTTAAAATTAGAGTTTCGCAAATTAAATTATCCCAGCTTGATTTTTGCTGCTGGGGAATAATGTCACACTTATCAAAAGCAATTTGGGATATGTAAGAATTTATCTGTGTAAACTTCCAGGCCCATCATTGAGAGAAATCAGTGAAGGATCTGATGTGGGAGCTGGAAAGCATGCTTGCTCTTTCACACACCTGTGCATGGTTAGTTTTCTTATACAACCATCCTCCTACCCAGGAAATAGTTCCACCCACTCTGGCCTGGGACTTGCCACATTGATTTACAACCCACAGGCAAATCTGATCAGGGCAATCTTCCAGCTAACTTTCCTTTCTCAGATGATTCTAAGCTGGGTCAAATTGATAGTTAAAGCTAACTAGGACACCAAATTTACACCTACATATATAACCTTGAAACCAGATTTAGAGTCTAAGATTGCTTAATGGCTAAACATCATTTTTCTACTACAATAAGATATAGTCTAGAAATAAAAACTATGATCTGGACGATAGTGGTATATGCATTTAATCCCAGCATTTGAGAGGCAGAGTCAGGAAGATCTCTGTGACTTTGATGCCAGCCTGGTCTACAGATTAAGTTCCAGGACAGCTAAGGATTCAAAGTGAAACTCTGTTTCTGTCTCAAAACGCCAAACCAAACAAACAAAAAGCAAATGAACAAAACCAAAACATTAATCACATGAGTACATCCTCAGCCGTGTGTGTGTGTGTGTGTGTGTGTGTGTGTGTGTGTGTGTGTGTGTGTGTGTGTGTGCGTGCGGTCCAGACCACACCATTTCTAAACATGATATTTAGTAAAGAATAATTGACAGACTCTTTTTTTCCTGTTACACACCCCCCCAAAATAGTATTGTTAAAGGCAGCTACTAATCAAATTCATAATTAGGAGAAAAGCGGGGTGAGGGGCACAATTATATTTTTATTTTTATTTTACATGTCAATCCCAGTCCCCTCTCCCTCCCTCCCTCTTACCCTCTCTCCTTCCTCACATGCACCCTGACCACCCTCCCCTCCCATTCCACCTCCCCCATTCCACATGTAAGGCTATGCCATCCAGGTGGGGTCATGTAAATCTGTCCAGTCATTTGAAGTAGGGACTAGGACTTCTCTCCTGTCTCTAGGTTAAGGGAGTATCCCTCCATGGGGGATGTGTCCACAACGTCCCTTTGTGCACCAGGAATACATCCTTGTTCCACTGTCTGAGGTCCCTTAGACTTCTCAGTCCTTCTTGCTGAAACCCATATTCAGGGGGTCTGAGTCAGTCCCATGCTGGCTTCCCAGCTATCAGTCTGGGGGGCCCATTAGCTCCTCCTTGTTCAGGTCAGCTGTCTCTATGTGTTTCTGCAACCTGGTGTTGTCCTCTCCCTCTGCATCTGGATTCTAGTTCGACTCAGTGTTTAGTTATGGGTGTAGATTACTGGTTGTGATTGACAGTTGCAAATGATTAGCTCAGTGCTCTCATTGGTGTCAGTGGGTGATAAATGGCTGTAGATTCTGAGTCAGGAGGTCTGGGTGGAAGTCTAGGCAGAATAAACCCAAAAGCTTATGGAGATGCTGCTGCCATTCCAGCAGTTCACACTCTACATGGTAGCAAGGCCCTACATCGTAGCAACACCATGTTCTATCCATTCATCCAGAGCTACTCCTAGCAAGGTCAGCAAAATTCCACTTCAGTGTTTCCAGTGGCCATTGGCCAGTTCTCAGTTTACGTGGCCCATGGACAACACTAGACAGTTACTCCTTCTACCCTCCCTTAGGGATTCTATCCTCTATGGCTTTTCCTCCTAATTCTCCACTATTCATGCTAACCTCCATGATGGTTCTTGTTTCAAAGACCCAAGCTTTGGGAAATTCCTCACTGTGCACTTAGATCATCTGTCACCTCTATTTACACTCACTTGCTTTCCAATCCTCTCCACTTTCAAAACTATTGCATTTTATTATTTATTCTAGAGATAGTTTTGCTGTATCAATCAAGCAGGCCTTTCACTCTTATCCTCCTGCTCATGTGCCAAACCCATCTCTAGTTTCAGGACTTTACCAACCATGTCAGCACAATAGCCTGTCAAATGTAACTGAATCCATCTAATCCAGATCTGTATTCTCATATGTGGAATCGTGTCTACCCACCAATGGAGTTCTAGAAGTCAACTCAACATAGCCAAAAATGATTAATTTAATCTTCTCTGCCACACCTCAATACAATCTCTCTTTTGCTCAGCTTTGGAGCAATTAAGAAAGTCTTTAGCACTAGCCATTTTATATGTGAAGTTGAGAATGACATAAGGAGACTGTGTTTATGTAGCACATACTATTACCTTCTCCTGTGATTGTGACCATGGTTTTTAGCTAGTCAGTAACACTAGCTAATGAGATAGGTACTTTTGGCTCGGATGGTATTTAATTTGATACAGTTTGTCCAACCTTTAAGTACATGAAGATCCTACTGAAATTAGGGTGAGGTGCTTAAGCTTATTGATCAGCAAACCAATCACTCAATTCAAACCGTCAGTTGTAGTGTCCCACTGAATAAAAGCTTGCAAGCTTTTACCTTTGTCTCTGAAAGGTATTGCTACCATGTATTCTCCTTGGTCCAGTGGTGTCTTGTCATCTACTTTATAATGATGCTCTGTTTTCAATGTTCCAGCAAGTCCTGGACATTCTGATCTGATTCTTCTAATGGCATGCCTAGTTAACATGTCATACATGCATCTTTAGATGTTAGACATACCTGAAATACGTTACTACTCAGCCTCAAGGAATAATAGTGGACAGAAAAGTTGATTGAATAAGGAATCTATAAGGTTTTGTGTTATTTTTTTCTGAAAGAATTCAAGGAATGAATCTTGATGCATCTATTACCTCTGCATCTAGTTTGTAATTTGCATTGCCATGTCCTTCATCTTTAAACATGTGATTTCGGACCTTTTCCAGGGTAGTTCGAATCTGGGAGAAAAAATAGTTAATTTTTTATAAGGTATTTAATTCCAAATGCATTTTTCTTTCTGTATACCAGCTACAGTGCACTTTATTTACATATATATCCTGATGTCACATTTAAATATTAGGCCTAATTAGACCTAATATTTAGGTTAATATCATTTAGATTAATGAAAATAAGTGTTTTTGTTTTATATCTTTCTTTCATATAAACCTAAAATATGACAAATTAAATTAAATTATATAATACCACAAAATAATTTAGTAATTAGTACTTAAAATCTGTGCATTTTGTCCAATTTTATCTATAATTTGGTACTAATTTAGTGTTAGTAATTACTAAAAGACAATTACTACTTAGTAATCACTACAAAATAATTACTATGTAGTAATTACTACAAAATGATTACTATATAGTAATTATTACAAAATAACTATCACAAAAAACCTTAAGACATGATCATACAAATTTATGCATGAAGTTTGAGTTCCAGTCTTGCAGACCTGTGGAATTGCTACACAGTCCAAGATAATTTAATTAGCTGGTCTGAAACAAGTTTACAAACTCAGTGTCAGAATTTTTCTATCTGTTATAAGAGCTTATGTGAGAATTCTTCCTCCCTTCTGTTCCTGGTGGATTTCTCATAAGTTAAATTATTAATGACATCACTTGCAGGGGTCACTGGCACTTAGGGACCAGGTGAGGAAAGAGAGCTAGAATCAGCAGGAAACATAAACATCTACTTGGGAGCACAGCATCCACATTCAGGAAACCACCAGGGGAGATCATAAAGCAGCAGGAAATCTGGCAGCAAGTGGTGGGGTGTGAATTAAATGCTAATAGGTGTACTGAACCATCCTGGCCATTACTCAGTCTACTGAGTGGAGAAAATCATTTTACTTCCCATGTAGGCACAGGTTTATATTCTAAAGAAGAAATGACTAGCCATGTTTAAATCTAAGCTGTCAGCTGTCCTAAGCCAAGCAAGGATTGCCCTTTCCCATGCATTGCATGGATGAGGACACAAAGCCCACTGATCCATATTGGTGTGACATGTATGTATGCATGCATATATATATATATATATATATATGTATGTATGTATATACCATGGCATGCAGATGATGTGCCCTGCCCTCATACCTTCTTCACGTACTCAGTTTCTTCAATAATATGAGCTGATGAAGATCCATACAAGACAGAGCCACTTTCTGTCTTACCTCTTGGGGGGACTTTGGTGGTCACCGTTACAGTTGTCATTGTGAGTTCTGGTCTTAGGAAAACATAACACATCAGCTCAACAACACAACATAAAGGAGTTTTGCCACAATCAAATCTTGAGTATCAAATGTTTAGTTTCATTTTAGACACCAAAATCTCAAGAATGGGGCCCTGTTTTATTCACTCTATGTTATAGCATACTGTGAGTGCTCAATAAATGTCTTTGGAACTAGAAATACAGTCATAATCAAACTGTGTATGCAGGTCCTATAGAACCTTGATAAAGGCTGTTTACCAAAGGATCCTCTAACAGAAAAAGAATATGGAAGGAATCCAAGTGCACTTGGATAAGATTGGTAAGTAGATTGCTGCTGTGGAATATCATTTACAATGTATGATTCAATTTAAAAAAAACAACATGGACAGAATGAATATACAATATCATGTTTTCTTATTTTCTTTTTTTAAAAAAATGGCTAATATGAATGAAGAGAAATATCAACTGACAGTTTTGTCAAAGTAAGTTTCAGACCAGCCTTGGTTCCAGAGTGAGATTCTGACTACATACACACATTAACATACACACAAATACACATAACACACACAGGAACATATGTACACACACAGAAGCACACACATGCATGCACACACAGGAACATATACACACATACAAACACACACACACACACACACACACACACACACACACACACAAGAACATGAACAAAACCACACAAGAGGGAAGGAGGAGTGGGCAGACACAGTGATTGGCATTCTGATCTCTGTGTACAGTCACATTCCTGGTGGACAGGCTGTACTCTGGATACCTTCTCCTGCAGAGAAGCTGGAACTTCTTGGATGGTCAGGTTGAGGACACAAAGTCCATAAAACTAAGCATGACAGGTAATAAAATACTGTTTGAATAAAGTATGAAACCATTGTGAATGACTGTGATGAGTGAATAATATCAAAAATCCTAAACCCTTGAACTTATAACAGGTGAAAACATACTATTGCCATGGTCTTCATTATCTTCTCCCCTACCCCCAAAAACTGCTGATCCAACAACTGGATGGACATAGGACAAAGGCAGAAGAAAGAAAAAGATATAGCAAGCACATGTCACATCATTAATACATTAACTGTATTTTCAGTAACTAAATAGTTAATAATGGAAAGGTTTCATAATATGTTAGCCAATAAACTCAAAAGAATTGTTGGACTTAGAAAACATAGCATTTGTAACTGTTTACAAAGGAATTGATCTAAAAGAAAACTCAAGTTCATCTAAGAACATGGGGTTAAAAAGTTTAATGAGGAACATTACAGCTCAAGAGGCTTCAATACTCAGGCATCCTTGTAACCAAGTCTACTATGGTTTAAGTATGGGGCTGGGAGGTGGCTCAGTGTTAAGAGACCTGCAGCTCTGAAAAGGGTCTAGATTCTGTTTCCAGCACCCACATTAGCAGCTCATAACCACCTACAACTTCAGTTCCAGGGAATCTGACAACCTTTTCGGGCCTTCCCTATGTGCATGTGCTACATATACACACAGACACCTGAATATATGTGCTATATAAACACATAGGCACATACATACATATAAAATTTAAAAATAAAAATCTAAAGAAAGTTTTTTAAAATAGTCTTAAGAGACATATAGCCAAATATAACAGACGAATCTTGTTTGAATCCTGCCTTAAACACACTAGGCACATGTAGTTTTGCTTTTGTTTGTTTGTTTTGAAGGTGCTTGCCTTACAAACATGAGGAGTTGAAATCAACCCCAGTGAATCAAAGAAAAAAGCCAGGCAAGGTGACACTCTTTTGTAACCCCAGCATTACAGAGCTAAGAAATAAATAAATCCCTGAAACTCATTGGCCAGCCAACCAAGCCTATTTGACCTGGGTTGGGCCAATAAAAAAGGATGCCTCCAAAAAAATATATAAATAAATAAAAATTGGGCAGTATTGAGAAACAACAGGTATTCTTACCTCCACATGCTTATACACACATGCACACACCCATTAAGCTACACAAATATGAATGGGAACATACATGTGCACACACAAACACACACATGAGGAACCATTTATGTTTCTAAGCTTAAAGGAATTAAGATATCCTTTTAGAAAAATTATGTCTGTTAGAGACCCTTGCTGGGATTTTCTGTGGGTAAAATGATAACAATAGGACCTGCTATGGAGGAATCATCAGTAAAGATGGAGATGATGTAGTGATGTAGTGTAGAGAAAGACGACATTCTTGTCTTATTCAAAGGTTTGGCAAACTCTAGGTAGCTTGAATCTATAATGTTCTTCCCAGTTTAGTGTGTGGCACTTAGCTGATGGCAATAATTTGGAAGGTTACAGAACCTTCAGATGACTTTGGGCTGGAGGAGATGGGTCACTGAAAGGCTATAGCCTTTCAGTACTAAAGCCAGGCCTTACTTTTGATCCATTTCTCCACCTCCGGGTCTGGCCTCCAAACAAGGAACTCTATCACAGGAACTTCCAACACAGAGCCACTCTTCCAAAACTGTGGGCCAAAGTAAATCTACCCTCCCTTAAGTTGGGCTTCAGACACTATGTCATAGTAATGAGAAAATAGATCAATAGAAAACAAGCTACAATAAAAATCTATGTAGATTCTGGGTGTAGAATTATTAAACTTTCTCTACTGATTAGGGAGTTGGATTCCCATAGTTATGTCAACTTAGCTTAGATCACAGTAAAAATAACAGAGACAAATCAAAAACCCTGGTATCTTTTATCCCAGGTGCAAGGGTATTTCCAACCCATTCAGACTGTCTTCCCTAGAAAGAAACAAAATGCTTAAAATCTAGCAAGGACCCATGCTGCTAAAAGGCAAAGAGAATTTTTATATTGGCCTACACCATGTTGAAAGAAGATTGCCTCCAGGGAAGCCACAAAGCCCTGAGTTTATCCTTTAATCTTCAATGAAATTGACAGGGCATGCCAAGAATTTTCCATTTTATTGCAAATCCTCTCAGAAGGCAGCAACCGTTCTCTTTGTTTCAGGAGAACTCAATTTGGCAACATCAACTCTGCAAGTCTACTGTGTGGAACGACATGGAAGTACTTTCCTCTCTTGGGCCTCCGAAGTCTGTTCCAGGATTAGGGACTTGGTCCACAACAACAATTGAATGCTCAAAGAAAAACAAAACCCCTTAGAGACAATAAGCAATGTGTTCAGAAACTTGAAGAAGGTGGTCAGCAATCTATACTTTTACATTCTGTCTGGTCCCCTCTGCTTGCACAGCCTATAAACTAAGATTATTCCTATATTTGTAATGCTTCCAAATAATCAGAAGTGTACCATCTCATGAAATGTGAAATGTATATGAAGTTGAAATTTTTAAGCACGAAATTCAGAAAAACAAATGTAGCTTGAAATCAGAAACACAGTCAAGTTCATATTTTGTGCACCTGTTCCTCTGGCTGGTGGCATGGTTTTGGGGTTAAAATGAAAGCTTTGGACAGTGAGGTATATCTGGCAGAAGTAGGTAAATTGAGTGAATCTTTAAAGACTATTAATCATCCCATTTCCTACTCACGCTCTGTTTCTGGTCTGCCATGTTGTCACCAGCCTCCATCCGGTGCTCCTACTGCTCTACCTTCCCACCAGGATGTTCTGAAATCTCAAAATAGACCTTTCTGCCCTTATGTTGTTTATGGTGACAGCAATACTAAAGTAACTAACAGTGTCCATGTATAGTTTTGCTATAACACAGCTGTGGCTCTTTGCTGGCATATCCTCCCTGATACTTTGCCCCTACAACAGCCCAGGTGAGCATCTACAATAGAAGCAGAACACAACAAACAAAACAAAACTAAAATATTTATTATCTGTCCATTTCCAGAAGAAAAAAGTCTGCATCATGGCATAGCAGGGAATAGGAGCTGGGCAGTGGGCAATTCGGAAGCAAGCAAAGCAATTGACGAGCTTGGGCCAAATTCTTTTCTCCACTGCAACTTGCTTCTCCACTGAGTTACTTTCAGTGTCCTTTTTTCATATTGTATGCATTGTATGCATGCATTTCATCACTAAAATCGAATATTAGAACAGAACCCTTCTGCTTTCTTCATTCTCCCAAATCTCACAATCACATTGGGCCCATGTCATAGATCCTAAAATATATTTTCTTCTCACATTTCATCCCTAATAACATTGACATCTTCACCTCAATCCCTGAAAACTGATCCTCAATTGCTTACTCCCAAAAACACCATCCACCCAGCATGCTAGTTGTAAAAATTACATAAAATTTTACCAGAATTTATATATGTATAAAATAGGGGGACAGTCCCCAGAAATGCAAAATGGATTGTTTTTATTGGCTGGTTGCAGAAGGCACTCAATGGGACAAAGGTCTGCAAACTTCAATGTTACTTCACATCTTGTTTTATATTCCTAATAACCTCAGAAGACTAGCCATCCATAAGAGCAGAGAGAGGTCAGGACCCCTGTGGTTCCAAAGCTTTACATCCAACAGTGTCTATATGTAATTAAATTCCATTTCTCTTTGGTTCAGAAACCTTTATGCTGACAGCCCCTAAGTGAAATAAAGAAATCCAAGATAAGGTGGCTGGGGTAGGATGGAGGGATGAGGGGGTGGCAGGGAACAACATAGCAAAGTCCAACCAGCCATATGGTATTATCATCCTGGGGAAAATCCATGTTAGCATTTTATTTCAGCCAGAAGTAGATTAGACAGATAAATTTTTCAAAATAAAACACAATCAGTTAATTAAAGTGAAGAAAGGCTTTATTTGTTTTATACTAGCATGGATTGAAGACAGCTACCATGTGGCACTGTGCCAAGAGATGGTATTTCCTATATCAGGCCTTGTAAACAAGGCAGCAGGGGGTGCTGGGTAGACAGTGCTCTGGCCCTTCATCTTCAGCCAAAGCAGCATTGCTTTGTCTCACAAGGCAGCATCTTCTCTAGAGCTTTTAGTGACTGAAAAGCATTCTGTAGCTAAAAAGTTTGGAGGGAGCTCTCCTAGCTTCATGGCACCTAGAAA